AGCACAGTGCAGTGTTAATGTTCAAACTGTATTTAAAGTGGCGGACAACAATAAATTCTTATTAGGAATAAAACTGCCTTGTTTTTGAACTGTGCAGCACTGTAGCTGAATAGTTAGGCCTACTACGCTACTGAAATTTAATGTTGGTCATTATGGTGTTATTGGGAGAGCCAAGTATTTTCTGAAGTGGTACTTGGTATAAAAAGTTGGAGAACCACTGGTTTAAAGGAATGGTGTATATAAAAAAAATTAAATAAATCCTGCTTTAAGAACTTCTCCGTAAACCATTTCTTCTTTCCCCTTGTAGAGTCATCCAGCTTATTATTGGTAAGGAATTGTTCATCTGCTACATTGCACTGTCACTTCTGGTAGAGATTCATTGACCTTTTGTGATGGGTTTTGATTTTACTTGGTTTAATAAAAATGTACTTAATTTAATTTGACTTGTTTTACTAAATGCACTGTATAGTTAGGATTCTGATTAAAACAGTAACTGGGGGCTCTGAACAAACTGCTTGTGAATAATGTTAATATTGTAAACTTTCATCTGAATACATTAAGTGTTTAATGAATAGTGTTGTGCACTTTTTCCAACCCCACTGTTATTGAACTGTAAAGTGAAAATATTGTATGTGATTTGTTTTGCATTCTGTTTCACAAGATCAAAGTTAATTTAATAATTTTATATTTATTTTTGGTGTTTTTATTTGTACAGAAAGCACACAAGTGGGAGAGAGTGAGGGGACGGCATCAGAAAGGACCTAGAGCTGGGACTCTTTCAAGGGTCACCCGAAGCACAACCTCGCTATATGCACAAGGCTGTTGGTTCTAACATTTTAACAGAATTTGAAGAAACATTTCTACTTAAAATATTAAATGCATTTCATTCAAGGCAGGGTTTTTCCTGTGTAAAGGATTAAGGTGACTGTCTCTGTCAAATGTAGTGCCACCTCTGGCTGTCGACAAAAATCAAGACGGGTGGTTACATGCTCCTATACCCCTTTACCACCGACACGGTTTCTGTTGCAGGTTCCATTCTCAAACTGTTCAACACTTTCACTGCACAAATGTGCAAATATCTTGTAATGAGACGCATTAGTAAAACATGTTTTCATAGAAACTATAGGTTTTCACCAAAATAAAAGATCAACTGTTTTCAGTCCAAAAAGTACTAGGGGTTTCTCTTGAAAGAGCAGGGCAAAATATGCACGTTATTTTACAAACTTTTTTTTTTTT